TTCTTATAAGAATTCTGAGTTAGGATTTAACTTCTGGGTAAGTTTTGTTTGGATAAAATGTGTAATTTCGGTGTGGGGGGTTTATAGGTGATGCTTTTATTAGATATTTCAAGTATTAATTAAGGAAATATTCAACTGTTCAAATTATGACCTATTATTTTCAGGAGTGTCATTATATGGTACATCATAGAAGGCGTTCCCTAATTCTGACCCCTGTCAGAATAAGGTGCCAAACATAAAATATATTTGTCTTTGTTTTCAGTACTAAAATGATGACGATGTTATTTCTTTTGCCCAAAATGATAACAATTCACTCTTAAAACTTTACACGCTAACTCTGACAAGGGGTGTCATAATTAGGAAATTAGTGTCAGGTTTAGGAGTAATTATGCTATAAGGAAATTTCCGTTTTTTTTGTAGGTAGGTACATACCTACTTACTTTGTACCTTAGTACTTATTCAAGCATGTCGGAGAAGAAAAAAAATGGTCGGTATGATCCCAATACGTTAAAATTGGCATTCCATTGGAATCCATAGCAAACGGCATGCCTGTGAAAAACGCAAGTAAAACATTGAACATTCCAAAAATGACATTACATTATAAGAAAATCGGAAAATATCCTGTAGAATGTACAACTACACCACACCAGGTGCTCCGACCGTTTTAACGTCAGAAGAGAAGTCAATATTAGTAAAGTGGATAATTAATTTGGCCAAAATGGGATTTTCAGTCAATAAAGACCATTTGCTCGATAGTGTGGCAATGCTACTTGAGAAGAATAATCGGCCAAACCCCTTTCGTGAAAATAGATTTGGCAGGCATTGGTGCGAATCGTTTTAACCTCGTTACCCTAACATTTCAAATAGAATGTGTCAAAACTTAATAAACTCCCGTGCAGTGGTGACTGAGCCCGCAATAAGGAACTGGTTTTTGGAAATAAATGACTATTTTCAACAAAACAATCTACAAAAAGTATCTTCCAATCCCCAAAGAGTGTTTAACGCTGATGAGTCGGCATTTTTTTCATGTCCAAGAGGAAAGGAACTTCTCACACTAAAGGGTAGTAAAACGGTGTACAACCACACAAACAACGATTAAAAAGAATGCATTACAGTTTTGGTAAGAGGCAAGTATCTTTTCAGATGACAGACCTCAAGAGACATTACATGGTTTCCTTCTTTTCCAGCCAACGCTGCCGATGATGTAGCTCCCCCAATGGTAATGCACGCATATGAGCTGATTCCACAAGCTATTTGTTACATTAATGCCAGATGGATGGGGACTTGGCAAGTCAGAATCCGGATGGATGACTTGCGAAAGTTTCTTTGAGTATATGTCCAACGTTTTTTATCCGTGAATTGTCAAAAATGCCATTTCCTTGCCAATATTTTTTTACGTGGACGGTCATAAATCGCATTTGACACAGCCATTAAGCGAATTTTATTCTCAAAAAAATATTATCTTTATTAGCCTCTTACCAAATTCCACCCGTATGCTCCAACCGATGGACGTCGGGGTTTTTCGGCCCTTGAAAAATAGTTGGAAAAAGGCAACCGACCAATTCAGAATTGATAATAACAGAAAAAAAACTAAGAAAAGAAAATTTTGCTACTCTCTTTGAACGAAAAAATTTTGAAAAATGCTTTTAAGGCATGTGGCCTCCGTTCTTTTAATCCAGATTCGATACATATTGACAAACTGGTAACTTCTACTCCAACTTATATCTACTCCTTTTGGCCAACATACAGACAACATAAATAAAAATCGTTTAGAAGAAAACATAAATAAAAATAGTTTAGAAGAGAGATGTGATTTCAATAATGAGCAAATAGAATTAATTGGAGAATTGATCGCTAAAGAAAAAATGGTTAAATTTATAAATTGTCAGGAAACTAAGAAAAGTTGGAATGAAGCAACTGAAGACAAGTCATTGTTTGAATTTTGGCGCCTTTGGAGTAAACATTTAAATAACCGGGATAATGGTAATGATAATAGGACTATTGGGGAAGTGGAAGAATGGGAAGAGTATGCTATTTTAGATGATGGAACTCAAGTGGCAGAAGCAAAACTTAGTGAAGAGGACTTAAATACAGGACAACCCTGTGAAAAGGAATATGAATAATTGATGGATGATACACTTGGGGACAATGTCCGTTGTGAGGATGTTGTTATTATAGAAAATATAGTAGAAAACGCAAATATTGATGATTTGGAAATTGAAATTTTGAACCAAAATAAACTATTATGTACCAATGATGAAAGTGGAACAACTGCACTGGAAAAAATGACGGTCGACATTCCAATCCCAGAAATATAATATCTGATATTTTATTAGAACCGAATGAATCTGAGAAAAATAACACAACGGAGCAACAAAAGGAAACAAGCAAACATCAAGAAAAGGAAGCTGACGATCAAACAAGCCTAATTGACTTTAGTGAATTGGAACCTCAACCTTCTAGCCATGGGACTCCTAAAACGACGTTAGCTCCCATATCAGAATCTGCGACAACCTCGGCGGCAAAACCAACTTCTATTGAGAGTATTGAAACTACAAAAATTAATGATCTTTTTGATGTATCATCCCCATTTGAAACCATACTATTTTGGCCAAACGTTGAAAAGTCGGAGAAAAAAAAAAAGGCCGTAAGGAAAAATTACCGAGTGTGGCGTTCAGAGCAGTGGAAGAACTATTATGGAAAAAAAGAAGAAAAAAAAAGAAACGAGGAGATGGAAAAGGAAAATCATAAGAGATTAAGGAAAGAAAAGTAAAAAAGCAAAAAGTTGTGAAATTGATGCTTCGAAAAAATGTAGAGTGAAGGGTATCTGATTCTGATTCTGATAATTCAAGACAGTCATTTGAATCCTCTGCTCCCAACTGTGCACAACAATACTTGATTGACGATTATGTTGTTGTTAAATAACTTAAATATGATGATATTAAATATCCAGGTGTTATTATGGACCAGCGCGAAAATGAAGCATTTGTCAGTATGTAACTGGAAGTGGCCAAAAAAAGAAGACTGTATCTGGTACCTTTGAGGTTACTGAAATACTCGATGAAATAAATCCTCCAACTTTAAACAATAACATAGCGTTCCAGAACTGAAAAAATATTTAAGTTTCACAGTTTAAAAATGATGAAAATCGTCTTTAGTATTATCTGTAAATTTATTTACCCGTTTCTTATAATTTCTTACTTTTGTTTTAGTGTCATAATTTGGGTAGAGAGGATGTTTGGTGTCTGAATTAGATACATTTACAAGACTACAAATAATATTTTTTTTGTAAAAATTTGAAAAAAAAAAGTTTAACTAAAAACTATCGTTATACATGTCACATGTACTATTTTCCAGCTTGAAGTATTCAATGCATTCAAAAAGTGTAAATTTACTTATTTTGAGTCCATACTAAATTCGCAGGTTGCTTAACCTGTCAGAATTCGGTACATTTACCTTACGTGAATATTCAGGAACTCGTTTCAATTGTGTGATTCAAATAAGTATTTACGAGAATTCCTTTTGAAAGCATATAGTTTGGTCTTTGGTAGAAGTTTTGTTAAGTGGTTATATTTGTAGTACTGGTCCGTACACAGTTTTGACTATTAGGATGCCGCTTATTTGATTTAGCGTTATTAGTGGCATGACAATAATTTCGGTCCCTGGGTAATATACATCAATGAAAATATTGCATATACCAGGGTTTGGAAGATACGAGATACGGATTAAGATCCGGGAAGAGGAATGCTTGCTCCATTTTAAAAAGTTATGCTCCAATTTCCCCTCGCTTTGGGAATTTATTGCGAAGTTATGTTACACACTTATTATTGTTTATTATTATTGAACTGTTACAATGTCATTCTTGAATATTGAATAATAATTTTATGCTATAAGGGTATGATATAATAACCATCATTTGTAGTATTTATTTGTGATTATAATAATTATTCAACAATTAATGCATTGAAGGAGAACGATGAATATTAATAATGTCAATAGGAAAAAAACGCTCTTTTAAAAGTATGACTTTTAATTTAATTGTCCTTATAATAGTTTAGTGAGAAGCTACGTTTAACTAAACCCTATGAATAAATATATTTTTTGTTTTTAGTTCAAAATATGTATCTAGTAATGAAAGTCGATTTATATTATTAATGCCATTTGCCCTTGTAAGAAGACTAACTACATTTTAACTAAGTACCTACCTACCTAATTAAATTTGAGTGGTGAAAACAGACCTTTCACCTTTCGCGTGATTTGGCAGATGTTTAACTTTTTATACAAGGCATTACGTAATATATATTTAGGCTTATCTGATTCGACCAGGCAAATCAACTCACCTCCGGGTCGTTATATAATTTTGTGGCACGTGGTTTACCAAATTTTTTGTAGGTACTTTGCTCATATCGTTGCGTGTAGAGAAAAATTAATTTACATCTTTTCAACATGGTAATAAATCAGTATGGATAAAAAAATATTTTTTTGGTTTACCTTTTTGGTAAATACATTTGAAAAGTTATACAAGGTTACCTATTTGATAGCTTTATACACATCAGGATCAATTATTATTGTCAATTATTTGAATCCAATAAATCTCAAATGCGTTAAAAAAATAAAGAAAACTGTCTATTGAAATACACTTATAATAGTTACCTAAATTTAATTTAAATTAAAATAATTTTTTGAATATAAGGTTTAATATAAGATTTATGACCATTTGCACCAACCATTTTAAGGAAGCCTTAACGATAAGTATTCTTAAGTGACATTTCCCCATGTAAAAATGTAATTTTAAGGAATATTTGTCGTTAAGGTTTCCTGAAACGGTTAGTGCAAACTAATTTTTTAAACATTCCACGATTATTCTATTGCACGCTGTGAATAAAAAATAGATTGGCTGTATGTGTATGGATATTAAATTATTTCTAGTCACCGCGATTTCTGTTTACAAAAATCAATAACACTCTTTTTATTATTGGAATCACATAAATCATTCTTACCTGGGTACAGTGACAAACAATTTATTTTTCCACCTATCCAATCCCAAGGGCAGATTATGTGCCGGTACATATTCGCCGTTTTTGATAGCGGCATTTTTGGTTTCTTCGTTGGGCCAAGCAAAAGACAATTCTTTCCAAGCAAAAACTTCTTCAAGGTTGGCCAAACATGAAGCCTCGTAGGCTAGAAACGCGATCAGAATTAGAGATTTAAGAGCTAACATGTTGGTTGTGTCGGTCTCTAACACTGACTGACCATGATGCCAATGGAAGAGAAGGTTTTTATTATGGTGATGGTGCGAAGTATGGTATTTTTTGGTTTGTTAAGGTCAACCATGACAGTGTAAGAGATTCCGTATTATGCTGATGATAAGTAAACATAATTTTAAAATAATTAGCTTTTTTGGCAGAGTGGCCGGTTATCAATTTCATTTTGTGTCTGATTTCAACATGTAAGAGAAATTTTTATATGAATCGTTAAATCGTTTTTCTGCAACTACAATAATGTTCTGTTAAAAAATTCTGTCTGATTCAAAAATGACCAAAGACAAACACCGGCGAAGTTAGTAGAATTAAAGTCTTTATACTATCCTTGGAAAGACAATTTTCAAAAGCTTCTTCAATTATTATTAAAACGCCTAGGAATAATATTAGCAGTCAATTCTGTTAGAAACCTAATAATGTGCCTAAGTTTAGGGCTTCTAAATTGAGATTTTTTTTATCACCAAAAATTACCTACGCATATTACACATTAAGAATTCAGTACCTCCAAGTTTACGTATAAAAGACTTGCCTATGTAGAGCAACTTGTATTTGTTGTTAAAGAATTTAAGAAATACGATTTAAGTTTTGTATACAGGGTTTTTTCTAATTGATTGTCAATATTTAAGCAGGCGATTTTTGAGTCAATTTTAAGAAGAAAACTTCACATGAACGTAAGTCCAAAACGTCTCAACTTCTGAGATACACGGTACGGTGACAAAGATTTCAAAAATAAATCATTTATTATTTATATCTGTAACACCACTTTAAATATTTTAATAAAATTTGGCATACGTGTACTATGAACCAAGAGACATTTTTTAATGGTACCTACCATTTTTTTTTTAAATTCCACCAAAGGCGTCCGTACGGGATTTGACCTGCCTATTTTGGCAGACATTGATGATGGTACACCACACCACTTAAAATAAAACTTATTCTTCAAATCCCCAATCATTTCTGAGTAAAGTTGATCACTTGATTTTTTACAATCCTATGCACGGTTTTCGCTTAAAAAAAGAAGAACCGTTTCTCTGCATGATCATAACAATATCGTTAAAATGACTCACACCATACAGAAAAATAAATTTTATTTTTTTAGGTGAAAACAATTATATGGCCACTTCTGATGACGTATTATTAAAATAAGTAGTTTTAACAAGCTTTCGCTTATTCAGCATTTATTATTATACATATAAATACAGGCTTGCAGCAGTATAGAATTTTATTCTTTAAGTTAGCTTTGTCATAGAAACATATATGTAATTTCGTGTTTTAATTAAAATGAAACTTTTTGAAAACACAAGTTGCATTAAAGTAAATATAATTGGCGCAGTCGGTAGATTCTTTTCGGCGGTGCAAAGCGATCCTTTTTCGTGTCGAATGTCGGACGAAATTCCAACACATACAAAAAACTATAGATACCCTTACATTCACAAAGACGAAGTAAATAGGCAAATAGACCAAATGCTTCAAAATGGAATCATCCAACCATCCTATTCTCCTTGGAGTTCCCCTATATGGATTGTTCCCAAGAAAAAAGATACGTCAGGACAAAAGAAATGGAGATTAGTAATTGATTACAGCAAATTCAATGAAAAAACCATAAGTGATAAATATCCAATACCAAATATCGCGGATACATTAGATAAACTAGGACGTTGTCAATATTTTACAACCTTGGATTTAGCCGGTGGGTTTCACCAGATTGAAATGGACCCAAAAAGTATTCCTAAAACAGCATTCAATGTAAACCATGGGCATTACGAATACACACGTATGCCCTTCGGGTTAAAAAATGCTCCTGCTACATTTCAACGAGCAATGGATAATGTTTTACGAGGATTACTAGGAAAAGTCTGACTAGCATATATGGATGATATCATTATCTATTCAACCAGCCTACAAGAACACATAACCTCTTCAAAACTAGTATTCGAACGATAAATGTCTTTCAATATGAAAATACAGTTAAGACAAATCTGAATTTTCACAGAAAAGTGTCGAATTTCTTGGACACATCATAACTCCAGAAGGTGTCAAACCAAACCCTCGAAAAATAGGGGCAGTGAAACATTTTAGAATACCCAAAACCCCGAAAGAAATTAATTCATTTCTTGGCCTCGTAGGTTATTATAGGAAATTTATAAAGAATTTTGCAAAAATTACAAATCCTTTACCAAACTCTTTAAAGAAAAATTTCAAAGTGATTCATAACAACCCAGCTAACAATTCCATGTTCTATAAAAGTCCTAAGAACGTTTCCGGAGCAAATTTAATAGAGCAATGTTTGTTCTAAGAACGTTTTCAAAACGTTCTTACAACACCTATACGATAAAAATGGGCACCATTCTATAGAGCTCTTTAGCTCTTTAAGATGTTGTGTAAGGTCTGCAGGGAACACCTATAGAATTGCTGAATAAACGTTCTTAGAAGTCTTAAAGAATTTTTATACAACAGTTACAAAGCATTCTATTAAATATTCCATAGCAGTTCTAAAATGATGTTTTAGAACTCTGTTATAGAACAAATAAAGAACTATTATACATTATTATCGTTTAGCAGCGCAAATCGTTTCGTTATACAATTTTTTTGTTGCATTGTTTTCTATTTAGAGAACTTTGATATCGTTTAATTGCATCTTTTACAAACAAAATGATTCCGTATCGCATCACCGCTGGTACATGCCAGGAATAATGGACTCCATCAAAAAAACAAACTGTATATGAGAGAACTTTACACTATTATCAACTGCTTAATTAGTTTGTAGAACCAAGGAAGCAGTAAATTTTAATGCGGAAAAAGTTTTATTGTGAAACGTGGTACCATATTATGGTAAATTTTTGATGCGCCCTCAGTTTACCTGATATTTTCTATAATGCAGGATAATTATTTTTTTTTTTCAAATTGATGAATTTACTTTCCAACTGTTAATGGCATAAGTCAGAAAGTAGATAAAATCCATAATATTGATGCCATTAAAGCTATTTTGACTTTATCAATGTTTAATATGATTTTTTCTGTTTTCTTGACAATATGGCGTCAGAAAGAAAGGCTTTTCTTGTACTTCCAATATGGCTTCTCACTAATATGACATTTTTGTGTCGATTGCAATGACAATAGAGTAAATATCCTCCATAAACAGCTACTATACAGCATCTATCCTATTCAATCTCCACAGTGTTGTCATATTTCACGATAATTCCTGAACCGAAGGTTCAAACTAATTTGTCTCATTTTGTTTTACCTTCCGTTATCTTGAATGTAGTTGAAGTTAAATAATAAATGTTCGTCATTTTTTATGTTATTTTAACTCTTCGAAAATGTCCCTAATTATCTGATATCCTATGTAGTCTTTTTGCTTTTAAATTTTGATTCTAATTCGCTTTTCATTTTATACCTGATGCAGCTTGGTGTAACTTTGGTACCTACAAACAAATAAACAAACAAAGCTATTACCCATTACTCATTACCGTACTGTCATGTATGTTACCTACCTATGTTTTTCAAAGGTGATATTCTCCACATACCAAAAAATCTGGTTCAATAAGTTTTGTAATAGTAGATTATTTAATTAAAGTAAATGGAAATAGGATATTTTTCAATTAAAAATAATAGGATAGTCAAGACAAAATAAAATTATAATTCCGGATATCTCCAGAATTCATCAGTTTCATTAACTACTTTTCTCTAATTTAAACTCACTGCACCCTTTGAGAAGTACCTCTACAGCAGAAGAAACAAGTAGAGTAGTTAGTGTTCTGTGCAAGTAGGTATATTGAAGTGGCAACGCTGTACATCGGTCGACAGTCAGGTCCCAGAGGTCGGTTCATAGAAATTCGTTGAGCGGGAATGGCATTTTCGATATTCAAATATAAGACAATAACCGAACCTTTATAGAACAATTTTGTATTCCGTTGTTCTGTTAGTGTACTGTATAGCAACTTTAATAGAATCTAATGCGATTTAACGTATAATTTTGCTCATTTATACGATATTTCTAAACATAACCTTAAAAGTTATTTTAGATGTTTGCGCGCTGTGTTTAGTTTATATTTAGTTTATGTGATTGTTTATAGCGGATAAATAAATACATAAACAAAAATATGTATAAAATAGTCGAGACAATAGAAAGAGGTTCCAAGCAACTAACCATAGTTCCTCAGGCATGGGAAAAACAGGGGGTACTTTTCTGGCCCAAAATGAAAGCCGATAAACTTATTAAAATAGGAAACTCTGTACCTGAAGTTTCTTGGTTCCAAATGGTTTGTAAATTGAAAAGAAAAGCACTACAAACATACGAGATTGCTGAAAAAGAACTATCTGATATGCTTATGAAAGAGGATTCGACTGAGGCAGAGGAAGAAGAAGTGCAGCCAAAAAAACGAGTTAGGGTTATGCTCCCAAAGAAAAAAACAGAATATGATTTCAATGAGATGGCAGTGAAGGCTACTGCTGCTTGCATGGTAAGTTTTCACAAGATTATAATGCATGTATCACATAATAATCCTCATATTTCTCAGGCTCCAGCGAGGGCTCCAGATGAACTAGCAACGACTTCCAAGACAGTTCAATACAACAGTGTAAATAATAGTTTGATTGCTGATAGTCTCACTGATAACTCGCCACAAAATATTTTTTATTTAAATGCTGAAAATATTAAAGATATTTATTCGAGTAATGAACCATACATTTCCACTGCTACTGTTGCCACAAGTGACATATCACCGACCGATACGAATACTTTAAATGATAAATTATTAACAAACATTATTGAAAACCAAGGAATAATTATAGAAAACCAAGCAACTTTACTCGAAAGCTTGAAAGGACTTGGAACTAATGATAATCAGCTGATAATCTTGCAGCAGTTATCAAAATTTGAGGCTATGGCAGATGTAATGGCACAAAAAAATGACAAATATGAACAGCATTAATAATTGTTCCTGTAAAAAATCTTCTCAGATAGTCGAAGATATATACATAGACCGCATTGAAGCAGTAGAACAATTTGATGCATTTGAAAGTAAGCTAAAAGACAGAAAAATAATGCAGGAAAATATAGAAAGACTTAGACAAGTTTGTGGAAAAAGAGGTGATGGCCATGGAGTTAACAACTGTTACATATTAATTGATAGGATGTTCTCCAGAAAATTCATGACCCTGTGCTCGTGGGCTGGTGGCGCAAGAGGAGAACAGGAAAAAGTGGCTTTTAAGATGTATAAAAACGTTATTTCGCTTTTTTTTAACATCGTGCATTTATCAGACAAAAGTTTCACACAAAAAGACTGCGAGGATTTTATCAAAAATGTCATAAGGAACTCGACCAGGAGAAGCAAAAGCGATCTGTTAAGAACTTCAGCTATTAAAAGAAGGCTCCCTAAGAAACCTGCTTCTGCCTCAGCGAGGAAATGGAAAAACCACAGGAAAAAGTTGATTCCAATGACATCATTGAAAATGAAATACCTTACGTTAGATGACGAAAATGGCATGGAAGAGCAATGTAACTCTGATGCTTTATCCGATAGTCAGGTGATTATATCATTCTATTTTTTTCCATATAAAAGCTATTAATTGTTTTATTTCGAAGGAATGCGACCAATAAGCCAGCCCATTGATTGACGGTTCCAAAGAAGAGAATTTTGTGATTTATTTTTATTTACTGAAGACATGAAAACTGCAGTGTCATGAATAATGAAGTTTATTTTGTTTTTATGTTACATACATATATATGATTTATATAATGTGAAAGTTTTTTTTATAGGGTTAAAAGACATTTGATTTATATATATATATAATATAGGTATTATAATATTCCGTCCAAGTAGTTTGTGTTTTGGGAATCTTATTTTAATAAAATGTTTATTGGGTACTTTTTTCTTAAACTTTATTTCTCTAAACTATGTAACAAAAGAAAGAATACAGTTATTTCTTTATAATCTACGGCAACAACTTTACTCTTAATTTCAGAGATTAAATATAACTTTGAATGATTATGTTCCACTCGGTTTGACTTGAAAATATTGAGGTGAGAAGATTTGATAGGAATATCGAAAACATTCTCTATTTCTTTTATAGAAGAACCACAAATAACTGTCTCTCCGTCGTTACCTAATGATGCGTATTGGAAACTAATAATATTATTGTTCTGAGTTAAAAACCATTTATTTGGGTAATCTGATGACAATGAGAATTCATTAAATTCTATTCTAGAAAAATGTCCCAAGGCATTTCTATTTTTTAATATTGGAAAGCCTCTTGAACATATGGAATTTTTCTCTTTTACGGAATCATTTTCTAACTTGATAAATTCACTCATCCTTTTGGCAACTTGTGCCAGAGGTAAGTTACCATTTCTTAATAATCTTTTTATTTGGTACAGTTTGTTTTCGAAGGGATAAGAATTAAAAGTTAACAGAGTACCGAACTTACTGACTTCTTCGACCAAATGTGTCAAATTATGAACGTTGCTGGTAATGTAGTCTTCTCCATAAAAATCTCTATAGTATTCTACATAATTATTGAGTAAAGTTTCTGCTAGATCAAGGAAATGTTTATATGAATTGGATGAGCATATAGTTACCCCACAAAAAAAAAGTAGAAAATGTAAGTATACTTCGGGAGCCAACACATCCTTAAGTATTACTATACCTAAATAATACAAAAATGTGCGGTATTCTGAACCTTTCCAGTGACACAACACATCCAAACCACGTACAGATCTATGGAACTCGCGTGGCATTTTACATTTTCCCAAAAATTTCGAAACTGTTTCTATATCTCTGGCGCACCATTTCGTCTTATAACTACCAAAGCTGCCATCTCTCCAGCCCAACAAACATTTCTTCATGATACCTAAATCCAGTAAATGTAATGAGTCTCCTACAGGAAAGTCTTCAACCATATCTATTGGCAAATGAAGTGAAGGAGAATCCTGTTTATGATGTGATCCATAATTTTGAGCACGGAAATTGTCATTTGTTCTTCTCTCGCAGCCGGCTCTGGGGAAAAACACAGTGTGAGAAGTATGCGAGTACTCACCAACGGTGGTACATTTTATACATCCGTGCTTACTGTTGAAATTTGAGACACCTGCAAAAACAAAGTAAAGTTATAAGTACCTCTACCTATTCTCACTTCGGAAATGTAGATAAGACAATTATGTAATGGATATTCTCCAATTTACCTTTGATGAAGGCTCTGGCTGGTGAATCGCATATAAAACATCTCAGCTTGACATCAATAATGACTTCATTTATCAGGAGTCCTTCCAAAAATATTGTTTGGGCTTCACTAACAAAAGGTTGCAGAAATGCTGTTAAACTGGACGGCTTTCCTGCGCCGCAGTATATGCCAATGACCATAGGTTTCACTTCAGGTAGTTCAAAAATATTAAAAAGTATCGGCCAAAATTCCATTCTGCTGCTTTTGTAAATAGACAACCCATCTATATTTATATTCACACTAATACTCCTGGGTAATTTGAGCATTGGTGATAAGACTAATTGTCTCAAACATACCTCGAAACCATGATGCCAGTAGTCGCCATTTCCAACCTTAATCATAATTACAGTTTGGCAAGTCTTCAAAAGCGTTCTTGGATCTTCAGGAAGAATATCTGGTAAACGTTTATTGATACTTTTAAATAAGTCCCTCAACGCCGAATGTGAGATGTTGTATTTTACTGCCCATATCCGAAGATCCTTTGTAAATTCTGCATTTTTCTCTGTCTCTGATATTACAAAATCATCTTCGTTATTGTTTTGAAGCTCTATTAGCCAGTCATTTCTTTTTATTATATCTTCGTCATCTTCTTGCTCTTCTAGGTCCAAATCTATTTCATTTTTTTCTTCCTCGCCCACCAATACGGCTCCATCTGTTTGTAATGCTGTCGCCTCCTGGACATCATTTATAGCAGTAGTGTTAGTGTTATTTAAAGATATACTATCGCGACTATCGCGTAACAAGGTTTCGTAGATTTTCTTTGTTTTCCTACGAAACGCTCCACTTTTTTTAACTTTTTTCCATTTATTTAATGGCATTTTCCAAAATAAATGTTTTCCAACACATACACACCAAGAAAATAAACTATTTAAACATATGGCATCATCAAAGGAGGTATAATAGTTCTATACCGTTTTTGATTGAACAAAAAAGCTTCCATTATCACTTATTTACTCTATAATGATTCTATTATTACCACAATATTATCCTCTATAACAGCTTTAGAGAGCTTTTTTCCCTGAGTTCGTTAGCGGCTCCAATATTGATAATTTTGTACTTCGCAGCAGAATTGTCACTTAGCGACCCCTTACCCAATAGTTCTATTAAAAGAACTATAAGCGACATTATAGAGTCATTCTATAAAAGTTCCACATGGGATAGTTTAATTCTATAGGGCAATACTTGACATCGGTTTCACAGTAATTTGACTCTATAAGCATTGATGCTGTAAAATTATGTTACTTTGCACTCTTATACAACAACTTTGAAACTTATGCTCTATAATTATGCTCTAAGAACGTTCTTGCAATAAGTTTAAACAACAATTCGGTTTCTTGAGGCAAAATGGGCTTCTGTGCGACATCAATACAACAATTTAGTGTTCCGGATACAACTATAAAACACTAATAGAACATAAAAGTCCTATTACCCTAAATTTACAGAACTACTTTGCTAGCTGGGAAAGCATTCATCACAGCTTTCAATCTTTGTAAAGACTTTTCAACCAATGAACCAATACTTCAATTTCCCGATTTTGAAAAACTTTTCGTATTAACAACTGATGCTTCAGAGTACGCAATTGGTGCAGTACTTTCGCAAGGACCAATTGGATCAGATTTACCTGTTGCTTATAGCAGTACAACTCTAAACCCAGCCTAGTGTAATTACTCAACAATCGAGAATGAATTATAAGCAATAATATGGGCTACGAAATACTTCCGTCCGTATTTATTTGGTCGAAAATTTACAATTGTGACTGACCATAAAACATTACAATGGCTTTTTTCTATCAAAGGCCTTGGTTCAAAATTAGTAAGATAGAGATTAAAATTTCAAGAATTCGAATATACTATTCAGTATAAGAAAGGAACGCAAAATGGTGATGCAGACACATTATCACGCCCTCCTTAAGAAATTTTTCCAACAGAAATAGAAAAATCACCACCAACACATATGTCCGCACTATGTGAAAGAAATGAGAACTCAGAAGACCAATATTTATGGCATGAGAAAATCAAACATTTCTTTGAATCACAAGAAAATCTATTTCAAAGACCAAAAAAAGTGTGTGAAAACAAAAAGCCAGAAGAAAAAAAGAAGAATTCCAAAATAAAGATTATAACTAATGTACCCATCAAACTCAACCCAATTAAAAACCAACTGACCAAAAACAACCACCAATTGAGAAAAAGAAGTCACCTCAACCATCAAAGAGTAAACAGAGAACACCTCAACCATCAACGATGGACCTGAAGAAAGAATACTTAAAGAAATAACGCCTAATGAAACACCAAATAAAAGAACAATACCAGAAGCAGTACACAATTCCGAGACGGATACAGCCAACACTTCAGAAACGGAAACAGTTCATACTTCTGGAGAAAACCCTTAACGTTAATCCGGCAGTGAATACATTTAAAAATCAAGTTATATTTAAATGGACAGCCAAAGACAAACCTTATGTAAATATAACAAAGTTATTCGAAACCAAGAAGAGAATTCTAATTTTTATAAATAAAAAACTAATAACAGGAGAAAAACAAATACTTTTAAGAGATTATTTACCACCAGATATGTATTGTTTACATTTTCCAAACAAAGAATTAGAACCTGTGATAATAATAATTTTCCAGGAAACATTCAAAAACAATTTATATAAACTAGTCATCTCAAACACTTCACTAGAAGATCTAACGCACCAAGATGATCAGAAAGAGATAATAGATAGATACCATACAACAAAAACTTCACATAGAGGAATGACCGAAAATATCAAGAATATCAAGCAAAGATATTATTGGCCGAGTCTAGAAAGAGACGTAATTAACTTTGTAAATACATGTGAAATATGTCAGAAATCAAAATACAAGAGACATCCTTATAAAGTAATTTATAAACCAACACCAACGTGATCCAAACCCCTTGAGCATATTTATATGGATAGGTATATACTCATTGTCAGGTCAGAAATATCTAACGATAATAGACAATGTTTCTAAATTTGCCGCAGCATACCTGGTAAATGAAACATCGATAGAAATTTGTCAAAGTTTAATCAAACCCTTTGCGGATCATGATACACCAAGTAAAATTACCACTGATAATGCACAAACTTTCAAAGGTAATCTAATACAAGACCTTTGTAAAACATATAAGAATGAATTGCATTTTACTACACCGTACAATCCAAATGCAAACTCGCCGATCGAAAGATTTCATTCGAAGATAAAAGAAAGCATTATAGCTTTCCGAATTGACCATCGTACCAAAAAAATTCAAGAAATAATTGATATACCAATTTTAAATTATAACAACAGTATTCATTCAGCACATGACTACACCCCTTTTCAGAATAGATATTAAAAGGAGGCGTCAATTATAAAAAAAACTCAAATCAGCGACAAACTGATTTCGTTTATAAGCTTGCTCAAACATTCAAGGAACTTAATGAAAAAATAAACTCAAAATTAAATGCTAGAAAGGCAAATGATGTGTTAAGTAAATTGAATGAAAAACGTGAAAATGACCCAGAAATACCCGAAGCTACACCACAACTATAAGTACACCGCGAAAATAAGCTTTAAAAATACAACC